AAAGGAAAGGAAAAGAAAAGGAAAGGAAAAGAAAAGGAAAGGAAAAGAAAAGGAAAGGAAGGAAAAGGAAAGGAAAAGAAAAGGAAAGGAAGGAAAAGAAAAGAAAAGGAAAGGAAAGGAAAGGAAAGCATCTCGAGAAGACCTGCCGAGGAGGAGAAGAGAACAACTTCCACATGCCTTTTTCTTGACTTTTTCTTTTCTTCATAAATCTTTGTAATTCACTTTTCTGAATCTTATCATAAATACATCCGATCCGATCCACACATTGACCGACTCATGCGATTCCTCCTTTTTTTCTTATCAAAGTATCATCGCGAAAATCAATCCTACGAGACCTACCGCTGACGCCGTACCAACAGAGTGTTTCGTCACAGCAGCTGTACCTGTGTATGGAATTGTTCCATTGATTGGCCCTGTTCCTGATCCTCCACCTCCACCACCAGTATTTGCTCCTCCACCTGGAGATGACGAGTCCGTACCGTTTTCTGTAGGCCAACAATACTTCTCCAGACAACCCGTGCACACATCTGGCAGGGCTGTAGTGACGTTCTTGTGGACAATGGCACAAGCGAGACAAGATGCCCATTCAGCAGCAGAGTCATCTGCAGATTGACTTTGCGTGACCATGGCTGTGCCGCCTGCAATGGTACTGTTGATCTGCTCGGGGGTGGCGAGGAATTCGGTCGGGGCATCTGCTAATTCGGTGTTGGGGAGATAGATCAACGTCGCGACAGAGGGATCGTGACATCCGTAGAATTGGGCTCGAGAGGTTAAATTCTGTTGGACTAATTGGTCGGGTGTGGGCACGAGCGGCATTCGGGGGAGACCCTTTTTCTGAGCGGAGAGGTAGGTTTCGTAGACGGAGGTTCCGTTGGTGATGTTGGTGGGAAGTGCGGTGGTGGCGTCTACGACGAAAATGACATCCACGGCGCGTGCGGGCTGGAGCCAGGGGAAGATGGGAATGACTTGTCCACTGTAGCCGCCATCTGTGCCGTAGATGTTTTCCTGTGAGCGGATGATGCCTGCCTCGGAGCTTTGATAAAAGGGGTTGGGAATGATGCCATAGGGATTGGAAGATGATATGTTTGGGAACAGAGTGCTAATGAGGGTGGCTAGAGTGTTGTTGAATTCACTGGAAGTGAAGTTTCCGATCGTGCAAACGTCGTTGGTCTGTAGAGATGTTCGGGTGAGTGCGGGAACTGTACGAATACCAGTTGGGTCTCGTAGACTTACTGGGATGAGAATGTTGGATGAGATAGCGCTGAGGAAGCCTGCATTGTCAAAGCCGACAATGCATTCGCCGATGGAGTCTGAATTCTTCGTTCCCATATACATAGTAGGGTAGAAGGCTCCTACCATTTCGTCAAAGCTTCCGAATTCGGCAGGGGAAATTTCCCAGATAGCTGAATCATTATTGGGGTCGCACATGTTCTCGGCGACATTTGCTTGAGTAATGGTTATAATTGGGTACGGAGCCTCGTGGTCCTGGAAGCTCGACTGCGAGGTGATGTCGGACCAGTGGAGGTCGTTGCCGCCTGATGATGAGATGTAATTGTAGGAAATCGTCTTCCCATATGCATCCAACAAAGTTGTAGGAAATCCAGCAGCACTTTTGTTGCCAACATCTTCGCGCTATCGAGCGGGAGAGTCAGCACGCATGTCATACACTCGGTGATGGCTATACTATACCACTGCTGCTGCATTCGCGAGTGGCGCTGCTACCGCGTTTTGGTAGCTCTCATCCAGTAAAGCAGTCCGGAGCGTAGAAATCTTCTCGAAGTTGTTGGCCATGACTCCGCTCAAAGTGAGAGAGCCGCCAGAAAGAGCTGAGATATAGGTCATACTCTGCAACAGACCTGCGACAGGCGAGTTGCTATTTTCCCGCCCATCGAGTCCATAGACAGCACCGGCAGTGGTCATGCCCGCCTTCGTCCCACCACCACTGAGAGCCAGAGCTAATGTCGGCAATTGCTCCGTACTGAGGCCTTGCAATGCTTGAGCGAGCCATGCTAAGAGTGCTGAAGCGGCCTTGGGAGTCCGTTGCTCAATGTAGGCCTGCTCATCGGCGTTGAGGGAGGAGTCTGCGCTTCTGATCAATGAGGTTGGACATGATGTCGCCGTCGGGACATAGGGATTTGCGGCCGCCTGACGTTTGGCTGGCACAAGCTGGCGGGCGGACACAGCGGTCACCAGAGCAGCAAAGACTGCGGGCAGAAGGTGGACGTGCATGGTGTTGTTGATGTTCGTGCGGACGACATGGCTTCATGATGCTCGAGCGGGCACAGTCTCTCTTAAGCTTCTGAATCGCTACGCGATCCATTGCCGGCCGCACGCTTGAGGTGTGCTGGCACTATGGCACTATAGTGACTTCTGCCGTGGCTGTACCGCAGGTACCGTAGATAGCGTCATCCTTCCAGCCATAGTATACTTCCTAGTGGTAGTCCTACGCCCAGCTCGCTTGGTACTCGCACCACCACTTCTTCTGCCTCGGGACGGGCATCTTCCATCCGTGGCGGTGCTATGCTGTTGTCGATTTCCGATGCAGCGTCGCCCAGTCCGCGGCGTTCATGGTGGTGTATGATCAATACCGTCTTGCCCGGGCCCGCCGCCCTCGAAAGTGCTGCCACGAGGAATCGGGCACATGATTCCCTCTTTGGTCAGCACCGAAGGATCCGTCCAGACTCCACATCCGAGCTGGTTCCCACAAAAGCACTGTATGAGCCAAGCCTCGACCTCAAATAGGGTCGCCGTGGACGAGAGGAGGGTGAATTGACGAGGTGACGAGGTGAGGATGATCCGCTTAGGGAGATGATGGGATGCCCCCGGCCAACACGAGTCATTCGCAACGTCGCATAGATGAATAGCCTCATGGCACCTAGGAGGTAGTACCAGTAGCACGTGTGTCAGATTTCGGTGCCTTGCCTTGCGCCTTACGGTTAGCCAAGCCAAAGTCTGTCCGAGTCTCCGAGATGCGGCGGCGGCCGAGCTAAAACTAAAAAGTTGACCAGACGAACAGGTGAGCTACATGTAGTTTACTCCAGGAAGGCAAAAACGGCATCACGAGACTTCTTCTTAGTCTTCTTCTTCTTCCTCCTCCATCACCACCTTGCCACATCTTCATCATGCTGCAGCAACGGATAGCGCGCTCTCTCCAGACCCTTGCACGACCGTCGCAATCCTCTCGAATCGCCAGAACAGCTACCACGACGCCCTGGCGATCCTCATACAAAGCCCCCGCAGTCGCATCACAAAGCATCGCCGCGCGAAGATGCTACTCGTCCGCCAAAGAGGAATCCGACAAGAAGCAGGAGCAGATCCTCAAGGAGGAAGGCAAGGGCACACAGGATACCGCCACTGAGGGCGCCGCCGCCGCCGCAAAGGAGGAGAATCCTCTGCAGAAAGAGCTCGAGGCCGTCAAGAAGGAGAATTTGGATATTACTGTAAGTGGCAATTCGCAGCGAGTTTCATCCACGCGCGTGCGCCCTTTGTGGATAGAAGCAGATGATTGACGAATATGACCCTCGCAGGATCGTCTAAAACGCCAGATCGCCGAATACCGCAACCTCCAAGAACAAACCAAACGCGAAGTCAAGGCCGCCAAAGACTTCGCGCTGCAACGATTTGCCAAAGACCTTCTGGACAGTGTGGACAACCTCGATCGCGCCCTGGAGAATGTGCCCAAGGATAAACTCACGCCTGAAAACCAGGATCTGGTTAATTTACATGATGGGTTGAAGATGACGGATGAGATTCTGGTGAAGACGTTGAAGAGACATGGAATGGAGAGGATCGATCCCAGCGTGGAAGGAGAGGTGTTCAACCCCAATTTGCACGAGGCGACGTTCCAAGCCCCTCAGCCAGATAAGAAGGACGGGACGGTGTTCTTCACCCAGCAGAAGGGATTTATGTACAACGGGAGGGTTCTCAGGGCGGCCAAGGTTGGTGTGGTGAGAAATTCATGAGTGCACGCACACCCTTCTCCCTTCCACCCGGTGTTGGAACTGGATTCATTTTCACAGAAGCCATGTCTACCTAACAATGTTCATATAAAGGTGACATACACCGGCCAGAGAGCGGCTGGTCCTGTATAATCAAATCTCCCCTCCGGATGCTGGGATGATGGAAAATCAAATAAAAGCATAGCATCGAGCGATGTACTCTATAGCCTGTATGAATATAAGATGTCCACCCAGCAGAGTGCAGCTTGGAGTGCCAGCAGTAGATATAGATGTATGTGTATTGGATTTGTGAAACCAGTAGATACATGTACAGGTAATGTAATCAGTAGGAGGTAGTACCTGGAGGTAGTCTCGTGAGACCGGATGGCAACGGGAAGGAGATGCCAAGGCTGAGCCAGTGTCAGTGTGTTACCAGCGTTGGACGACGTCAACCCCAGCGCCAGCCAAACTCAATCTGGGCCCTCCCGCACTACCGCACCAAGCACTGTCCGCACTTCACATCACACACACTGCCGAGACATCCTGGCCAACAACCCTCCTCCTCCTCTGCGAATTTCGACGCGTTATCTGTCACTCTCACTCCCTCACTCCCTCACTCATTCTTACCCTCTCACCCTCTCACCCTCACTCACTTCACTCTCCCCCTCGAGGAGCCATGATGGACCTGAACCCGCCTCACCTCACCGCGCGCGCTCGGCGATGATCGGAAAGCTGGGAACACGTGCTGTGCAACGGGGGCGACACCAACGACACGACGCCAGTATCGCACAAGCATGAGCAATCATCCGCCTCTGAGGCCACCGCCGCCGCCGAGGTCGCCGTCTGGTCCGCGAACACACTCGTCTCTCTCACAGGACTCATTACGGAGCGAATCTTCTCTTTCCAGCGCCACCATTGATTCGGTCGAAGCAACCGCGTCGAGGCGCTCGCCATTTCTCTCGCAGCAACCAACAGCCAGGCCGTCCACTGCGGGAGGATTAGCATCGACGCAGACTGGCGCGACGATTCAGACCGTTCCTCGACATGTTGCGCGTGGCTCTCTAGATGGGTTCAGAGCCGCTTCACCTATGTCGAGCCAACAGTTGGGCCATCGTGCTCGACAGCACAGTCAAGGATTTTTCGAGCCCTCGCTACCGACTGCGAGTGGCAACGGTAATGCGCTCTCTGCTTCGCAAATCGCGGCTCAGGCTGCATACTCTCATCGAGCTTCGCCGCCACCTTCCCAATTCGAGAGAAAACGCTCCTATCCGGGATTGGCACCCATCAATACCCATGGTCCGCCAGGCAGTCGCCGACCTAGTCATGAACAGAATCCCGTGAATCAAATTTCCACTACTTCTACTCTACCGTATAGCAATGGCTCCGTGGGCGGCAGCAGATTAGCAGCAACCACTGCAGCCAATGTGGCGTTTCCAAATGGCAGAAGCCCTCTTCCATCACCTAGTATTCCGCCATCCATCAATAACCTCAGTCTTGGTCCGGTTCCCGATAAAGAACCAAAATCCAAGACTTCTAGAATGAAACTGTTTGCAAAACCCAAAAACATCGTCTTGTCGAAAGAGAAAGAGAGTAAAGCATTACCGGGTGCGCCATCTCCTAGCAAAACTCCCTCCACAGCGACATTCCTCCGCAATGGGTTTGCAAACGCATCAACGACGAGCCTCGTCGATCCTACAGCAAGCTTGAGCTCACTCTACTCTTCTGCGAACGCATCCACGTCCACTTTGGTTCCCCTCATATCCGAAAAGGAAAAGGAAAAGAGGCACAACTTTTTGACCCGGCAAAAGCATAAGCTTCGCGATGAGCCTGGACAACCACTGCTGTCATCGGCACACTCAAATTCACAGGCGACAGATCCTGGAAAGGCACCTCTGTACTCCTTTACGCCAGATTCTCCCGGTCCAGGTGCCTTTGCCAAGTCAATGTCAGGTTTCGACTTACGGCATGGAGGCCGAGCTTTACGCGACAAGAAGAAAGAGGAAAAGGCCGCTGCTGCTGCGGCACGGCTTGACCTTGTCCCCACCGTGTCGAACACATCGGTCACTGGCGGCACTAGCGATCAATTTCTGGGGCCTAGTAGCTACGAAACGAACTTCATGGGACCTCCGTCAGTCGCACCGAGTCTCTTCGCCTTTCCATCGGACACTGCTGCCCTTCCCGTCACCGCTCAAGCCTTCAGCAACATCGGCGCATCAATGGGTCTTCCTGGTATTGGCCCCGATGATGCATGGCCGTTGCTCAAGGCGCGTCTATTGAATCTATTCTCTGGCGAAAACCTCCGAACTCCCATCGAAGACTTCAACGCGCTGGTCAGTGTACACGTCAAGAGCTGTATCCAGCGTCGTTCGCCCATCGTTCTTGTGGAAGACGTCCGAGAGTTGTTGCAGACTGGTTTCGGCTCTCTGGCTCAGACTTTACGAGGGATTCCCGATGATCGGTTGGTAACTAACCTGGTGGAGATGTGGATCGGTGTATATGGCGCAATCTTGCCCTTTCTACAAGCTGTTTTCCTCCCTCTGGAGCTGGAATTCAAAGGACGAGGCACCATGATGTCCTTGCGAGAAGCTCAGGAGTTTTGGGGTGCGATTCCCGAATCTCTCAAGTTAGATACGGATCATCGCCCTTCCTCTGCTGGAGGCAGTACGATTCGACCCTCTCCCTCCGAACTCCACGAAGAGCTTGAAATCCGTCGACTCACTCTCATTGCCTTTCGGGACGAGGTCATTCTGCCCAGACACGAAATCCTGATGAACATTTTCAGTCGCCTCTCTTTAGACAACATCAATGCTCGAGCCTCTCCTGACCCAGCGGCAGCGAAACGTAGAGGTCGAGATCACGCTCGAAGCGATCCCTCCGCACCGGGCGCGGAACGACCTGGTACAGCAGGAAGTCTCAGTCCACGACTCAGCAGTTTCAATTCTCAAGCTTCGACATTATTAGATGCGGCCAGTATTTCTTCTGGCGGTGGAGATGCCATGCGTAGCAGGGCTACTTCGAACACTTCTGCTGGAAGTTTTGGAACCAATATGCCACATCTGCAATGCCACCCACATCCGCACCCTTCACCTGGCCTCGGACCTGGTTCGTTCAACGTCACCAGTCAACCGGTCCAACAACCATCCTCGCCACCCGTCGCGCTAGCCGACCCTGCCAAGGTTACAGAAACGGTAGCACGAATGTTACAATGCTTGTACGTGCTGGCCTCGTGTCAGACCGGAGACGTCGCACAGGGAAACGTGGAAAGATTGACAAACGCACTCAAGTACAATTGGCTCGGGAGAGGTCGAACCGGAAGGGACCGACGAGGTTGGGTCGGAATCAAAGCTGGAAGGGTTGGAGGTTGGACAGGTGGGCGCATAGAACCTCACCTCAAACCTACTGTTGGATACTGAGAGGGAGTGTGTGTGTAAGAAAAGAGAGAGGACAATAAAAAGCCAGCAGAATCTGGCACGGGCTCCGGGGAGGTTTAGTTTCTTCTGTGACCCCTACTGCCCCTAGATGCTACTACTACGACGACGATTGTGAGACTATGATACCCATTGGAGACAAAAAAAACGAAACGAAAGAAATGGACAGGATAGGATAGGAAGGGAAGGGAAGGGATGGTTCATTCGTAGGCAGAACAGGGATAAGGTCGGCCAATGCATTCAATGATTTGATGTTGCAAACGAAAAAAAGAAAAAAACAGCGAATTATCAACCTAGGTAGGTATGGAAGGAAAGGGCTCTTCTTGAGAGGAAGGAAGGAAGAAATTACTTACTCTAGGAAGGAAACACTAGGTACGAAGAAAAAGATGAAGAAGATTATATCGATATACTCTCTCTCCCTCTCCCTCTCCCTCTCCCTCTCCCTCTCCCTCTCCCTCCTCTCTCTCTCTCCCTCTCTCTTCATCTCTCGTCCAAGGAGAGAGCAAGTTCTAGCTCTGATCCTATCGAGAAATTTTTCTTCTCCTTCTCCTTCTCCTTCTCCTTCTCCTTGATATCAATACCTACATACCATTCACATTTTGTTCTATCGTATCAAACTGTGTAGTATATCGTATTATAGGTATCGTATCGTATTGTATTTGTGCATTGTAAATAAATACAAAGTCCATATCCATCCAGCAAGATGTTCAAGCAAGATCCTCAAGTACGGTATAGTATAGTATAGTATAGTACAGTATAGTACTACTACCTAAGTATCCTACCCGACTGACTGATTGACCAAACAACAACAACAAAACTCCGCATGTCCATCCATCCGTCCGTGCAATGCATACTTGAGGTGCCACCGGACGCATCAATATTGTTAATAACACGTCTTACTTACTTTCTTTCTTTCTACCGTGTATGATGGATAATACTAACAGATCAATATGTGGATTTTCATCACCTTTCCCTTTGCCTTTCCCTTCCCCTTTCCCATTCCCTTTCCCCTTCCCCAATGAGACGCCCCGTCGCCTGCCTGTGCATGAACTCCAGGGTGTAGTGTCACAATCACGGCTAAAAAAATTGTGGTGTATTCGTTCCCTTCCCGAGCTTCTCTACCCTATATCCAACTATCCGCGAACTACCTGATGCATTTGGTTTTTTTTTCTCTTTCCAACCAAGTGTCTATTCATTAAGCATAGATTGGACACTGTTCCACTTTTGCTTCAAAGCATCGTGATTTGCTACCGCCTGTAGGTTCCCATGTTAGCAACCCCACACGTTGGTATGGTTTGTAGATGTGTAAGAATATCACACGTACCTGTGCATGAGCCATTTTGGCATTTACCAATTCATGCTCCATCTCGGCCATTTCCTCCTTCAAACCTCGGTTTTCATTCTGTACTTCAATGTTTCTCGTCATGATACGGTCCATTTCTGCCTTCAATCGATCTTCCACCTCGGCAGGTTGTGCGTCGACCATTTTTTGCAGCTCGACAACCTGGATCTTGAGAGCCTCATTGGCGTCCAAAAGGGAGTCATTTTCCACTTTCAACGTGACCAAATCTTGGGCAATGGTGACATGTTCCGTATCGTGCTGCTGAGCGCGCTCCTCCAGTGCCTTGACCCGGGTCGTGAGAGTAGCATTCGTGGTGCGCAAATGCTCGATTTCTGCTTCGCGCTCGCGCTCTGCACGCTGCGACTCATCCCATTCTGCCGCGTACGCCTTGAGAGTGTCGTCGCACAGCTGAATGCTGCACGCGTCTCGGACCATGTCGTCCGCCCGATATACCTCTTTGTCGGCACCGCCAGTAACGGAACCGAAGAAACCCGAGTTTAAGAGGGAAGAGGCGGAGGGAGATTTGTCAATGTAGGCGTCAAATAACTTCTCCTTAAGAAAGTTGGTGAGTTGGCTCATATCCTTAATGTCCAGGAGAGCTTGACGGTTGCGCTGAATCAGCACAATGCCAAACTTCATGATGGCGGTGAGACCCTCGCTCAGGATCAAATCGTAGATTCGGAGGGTGAGCTGGAGTGGAAAGCGGTACACGAATAGTGTCAGGAACCATTGTGTGGCGTATAAGTGGGGGTCGACGTTCCGCCGTTTCAGATGGCAGTATACCGCGGGTTCGTAATCCTCCAGTAACTTTTCGAATTGATATAGTCGCAGATGCAAACCTCTCATATCCGGCGTGAACATGCTTCGCAGGTCATACTTACTCATGAGCCGGACGAGGAGCGTGAACGCCTCTTCTTCCGCCATGTTGAACAAGAGTGGCATGGCGATGAAATTGATGCCCTGTGCGTATCCCACGCCCTCGTCGAAGAGAGCATAGGCCTTACAGACGCCAAACAGACCATCTTGCAGTCCCGCAGATTGTGTATACTTGCTGTACGACGTCCGGGTGCCCATGTCGCGCCGGATTGCTTTTTCCAGCTTCCGCAGCGCTGCAATTTCTCGTTTTTGCTTCTCGGCCAGCAACTTGGGCTGGTTGTCCGGAGAATGACCCTCCACCGATGTGGGCGGTGTTGCAGCACCAGAAGCAGCGCTTACAGAATGACTAGAATGTTGACTAGACGCATCCGAGGCCACTCCTTCTTTCTCCGTACTCGACCCCGAATTGGATTCTACGATAGAGTCCGCCCGCACATTGATATCCGCTACAGAGCCCGCCCGCGAGCTCGGATGCTTTTTGTGCTCCGCCTCTGTCCCTCGAGCTTTGAGGGTCCGGTATACGGCTTCGAGTTCCTCATTCTTACTCTCCGCGAGCACCTGCCATACCACCCCACGGATGGCCGGAGGAATGCCCGCTGTAATGGCGGTGCGTATCTCATCGCCACTGGTCCTCGCGACTGCAGAAGGACCTTGTGAGACCAGTTGCTGCCACAAATCCCAATTGACTGCAATTGGTTCTGGTGGAGGGCCCGCAGACATGCCAGACGCGGTACCCGGGGGCAGCTTCGCGTCGAGCGTGGGAGACCGGACTCTGCCACCTGAATTGCGAGGGCTAGCGGGAGGGGATGTTGCGTTGTCGCCTGCAGGGGACACGGCCGCAGAATCCTCGTCTTCCTCGTGCAACGTGTCGCCATTCGTCTGTGGGCTACCAAACTCTTCTTGCCTCCGTAGGCTCGAGAACTGTTCCTGTAGGCTCGGTTTCAAGCCATCGTGTCCTGATGCGCCTTCGCCGTCTGTGGAGGCCGTTGAGGCGGTTGTGTTCCTCCGCTCGGATACAAAACTGCCCTGTCGAGATGGAGGGGATCGAGCGGGCTTCCGTATACTGCCCATCCGGCCTAATAATGCACCAAAGCCCACCGAGGCCTTCCGCGCGAAGCCCGGGCGTGGTGGCGACGATGCCATGCGTTCGGTAGATTCGCGAGACTCGAGATTCGACCTGCGCTCGGCAGTCTTAGGAGGCGGCTGCACTGGCAGTGCCACGTCGCCCGAGAGACCGCGCGTGGTGCGGCCAGGGGACTCTGGAGCGGTTGTGCCAGGCGACATGTGTGGTGATGTGTCTGTTGTCGACCGGTGGTCGTTGACATGGTCCTTGCGATTCTCTGGAGCGGTTGTGCCAGACAACATGCGTGGTGATATGTCTACTGTCGACCGGCGATCGTTGACATGGTCCTTGGCATACTCTGGAGCGGACACCTCTGGTGCTGAGCCGTGATTATTGACGTCGTCCGTGAGAGCTATGGGAGCGGCGATCTCCAGTGTCGGGCCTTCCGCATTGTTGCCATTACTGATGCCTAATCCTCCGCCATGGCTGATGCCCAGTCCTTCCATTCCGCCCTCCTCTCCGCTCTTGTCACCAGCCCCACCACCACCTCCTCCTTCTTCTCCTTCTCCTGCTCCTCCTCCTCCTCCTCCATTGAGCTTTTCCTCCACGGCAGCCGGTTTGGCATCAGGGACAACAGGCTCGTGGGTCGTGGATTGCGGAGATGATGCGGCATCTTCAAATGTGTCGTTCTCGTGGTCGTCTTTGTGGCTGCCATTGCTCTCGCCGTCGGCTTCTTTGAGCCGCATTTCCGAGGCCATGTCGGCCACTGATGTTACACGAATGGAGATGCCACTGCTTTTGCGGTTATTGCCCCTAGACGCTGGACTTCCTTTGCCCGGACGATGCGACTTTCGACGATCAGGAATGCCAGGAGCCTGATTGCGTTGGCTCTGGGGAGATGGGGTGTGGGACGGGGAGGGTGAGACGTGGCCAGAGTCTGAATCGGGGTCCTTTGTTGTAGTAGTAGCAGTAGTAGTAGCTGTTACTGGAGGTGATTCTGTTTCTTGATCTGTTGCCGTGGAACCATGGTCGGTCTCCGAGTTCTGTTCTACAGAAGCCACCACTGTGTCCAGCCGTGTCTCTCCCGCAGATGCAGCTGCAGAAGCCGACATGGCTTTTGTCTCCTGCCTGGGCCTGGGTGGTGTGCGCTGGTAATCGCGCTACCTCGTGACACGTGCACGCTGAGGGTCTCGTAGACCGAGCACTACTAGTGAGTTATTAGGCAGTACAGTAGGTCGATAGACAGCAGCGAAAAAAAACACCGGCTGCAATGAGGAAGAGGTAATTCGGTCGTTCTACAGTACAATCTAAGACACAGCCAGCCGCCATAGGAGGTACTTCAGGCTGTCCTTTTTGCTTTCAGAGCTGATGAATGGCAGGCCAGGCCAGGGGGCCCAGGGCACAGTGCACACGCATCGTCTAGTCGACCATGTGCTGGGATCGAGTGGGCTGTAAACACGCTACTGTACGACGCAACGGCCGCCGACGCAGCCAGAGCCTACGGTGCCTGTTTCTGCTCGCCCACCAGTGACGACTCTCCCGGTGGCAGCACGGTGATGCAGTACATGTCTACAGGACCTCCATGTGGGTGATGTGATTGATCTGCAGTGCATGGCAGACAGTTCTAGTAGTGAGTGCCACTGAGTGGTACCTGTTGTGGCTGAAATATAGGCAACGTCAACAGTACCTAATAATGGAGTGTACACAAGTTCATGTATACCTCAGTGATGTCCAAACCTTAGTAAAATAGTAAAAGTAATTACTAATAAGTAATTACTTTTTACTAATCCCTTGGTTACTTTTACTTTTACTTTTACTTTTACTTATGACCTTCGAGGATTAGTAATTAGTAAAAGTAAAAGTAAAATAGTAACGATGATTTTACTAATTTCGGCTATACGTACCTATATATTTATAAGAAATAAGTAGTTTAGGAGGGATATATAGTAAGTAGAGGATATATTATATATATATATAAGCTATCTATATAGCTCTAATAGCCTATATTACGCTATGTCTATTACGCTATATATCTATTGCGCTATATATCTATCGCGCTATATATCTATCGCGCTATATATCTATCGCGCTATATGTCTATTGCGCTATATGTTCATTGCGCTATATATCTATCGTACTATATATCTATCGTACTATATATCTATTATACCGTATATCTATTATACTATATATCTATTATACTATATATCTATTATACTATATATCTATTACGCTATATATCTATTACGCCGTATATCTATCGCGCCGTATCTATCGCGTCGTATCCGTTACGCTATATCCGTCGCCGTTTCTATAATTCTATTTCTTAATTGCCTAACTAGTTAGTAGGTATCTCTGTCTCTATCTCTATCTCTATCTCTATCTCTATTTCTATTCCTATCTCTATCTCTATCTCTATCTCTTAATTACCTAGGTATTTCTATCTCTAAGCCTATTTCTTAATTACTTAGGTAGATATCTCTATCTCTATCTCTTAATTGCCTAGAGACCTTATCTTGTCTTAGTTCTTCGAAAAGTAGGTAGGTATAGTACGTATAATGTGCCTTAGGCAAATTTAGCCTCCTAAGTCCTACTATTTAGAATTTTTACTCCCGCTATATATAATTCCCTCTAAAGCCTTTACCTCTTTAAATACCTAGTAGTATAAGTATAAATATAAATAATATAAAGAAGTATAGAAACTATACTATACTATACTATACTATACTATACTATACTATACTATACTATACTATACTATACTATACTATACTATACTATACTATACTATACTATACTATACTATACTATACTATACTATACTATACTATACTATACTACTTACGTTACTAATTAGTAAATGTATTTACTAATTAGTATTACTTTTTACTTTTACTTTTACTTTTACTTACGACCTTCCGTTAGTAATTAGTATTAGTAACGTATTTTACTTATGACCTATATTAGTAAAAGTAAAAGTAAAAGTAATTACTAATTACTTATTTTAGAGTTTGGACATCACTGGACTATACCTCACCTACATGTACCTATAAGGTGGTGTATATAATGTACCTACTGGCGTCCTGGACTCACGGCTGGTTGCCCAGTATCCAAACTTCTATTGTTCTCTCGGCAGATGGACCCCAACAGCACAACATCGGAAACCGGCCTGCATACAACTATCCCCTGGCCGGCTTTTTCACGCATATTTACGTACGTACGTAGGCTGGCTGCTGCACTGGAGACCGAAGGCCGGAGAAACCAACAGAGGACTAGAAACACAAAGGCGCAACATCGCGACCGAGTGAGAGGAGGAGTTAATGTACCTATAGTGTACTACCTCCGTAATACTGTAGGAACAGGCTAAGGCTGCTGTACGACGTCCTATCGCTATCGACAGGCTATACCAGGTACCTGGGGGGAAAGGGGTTCCTATTACTCGACTACGATACATGTGTTGTCTATCCAACTCGACCTACTAGGGGCAAAAAACAATAATAAAAATCATAATCATAATAATAATAGGAGGTACAGTGGTACTGTACCTCGTACTCGCCAAGAGGGCAAGCACTAGAAGCGGAACTAGTTTCAGAGTAGCCCTAAGAATAATCCCTTACCAAACACTCCTGTGTATCGTCACGGCCATGATACTAAAATGCCGTTTCCCTTCACACTACCCACCACGAGTTCGGTGCTGTTGTCCGACTTCTTCGACAGCGTGACACACCCCTCGCTGCCGCTGACTGCGACCACCAAACGCAGTGTTCTCAAAGATGTCTTGAAGAAGCACAAGCGATTGTCCCCTCCTGCGCGCGAGACCAATCTCCCCGCTGTCCAAAATGCCGTGCAAGGCTATTTGCCATATTTGCTGGCACTCAACGCCGGCTCGGGCTACCGAGACGTCGGGCCAGAGAAGCTGGACGTGGAGATCAAGCGAGTGCTGGAAGTTGAATGGCGGAGCATCTTGTCGACCTCGCTGCCAGCTCGCGAGACTCCACGGGCCAAGTTGACGGGTGTGCATCACGAGATCGCCTTCACGCTCTCCACCCTTGCCTACACCTCCTCGCTGCTGGCGAGATCGCAGCTACGATTGCTGTACGGTACCGATGTCCTGAGCTCCGACCAACGGACATCCATTATTGCCACTGCCATGAAGCATCTCATGGAAGCTCATGGCATTCACACCTACTTACTCTCTCTCCCCTCGTCCTCCACCTCCGCCTCCCTAGATAGTGCACCCATCGATATCCACTCCTCCACCATCTCCGCTCTGGCCTCTTTGGCACTAGCCGAAGCCACCATCATCGTCGTAGCCAAAGACGACCCCTACACTGCAGCCGTCTCCGAAGTCCGCAATGCAGAAAACAAAGACTGGATGTTCAAAGCTCCCTCCATCCCCAAAGTGCGCGCTCACCTGTACGCCCGCTTCTGTCTTGCTGCAGCAGAACACGCCAACACTGCCAGCAGCCTTTTATCCGGCACAAAAATCGACGAGGATCTGCTCAAATACGCCACTCATCTCCGCAGCACAGCCCGAGGAAAAGCCGCTCGATTCCTGGCCATCGATGCGGAATTAGCTTCCAAAACCGGCGAAGCCCTTGCCTGGCTCAAAGGCGCGCGAAAAGAACTCGGTCTTCCCATTGAGGCGGCCAGCGAAGATGGCAACAATCGACGACGAGGCCTCAAAGGTCTGAAACAAACCTGGCAAGAAAAACGCGAAGACCGCAAAATCGAATCTGCCGGCAAAGAATGGGGAATGGACGCCGGTCGCCTCGAAGAAGCCCGCGTAGTAGAAATGTTAGAATCGAAATGGGATCGAGAGAATAATACCATTAACATTCAAATCGTCCCGCCCTGGGAGCCCTTACTCGCGAACATGCCGAGTGGGAGAGAGTATCATTCCCAAACAGCATGGCGACCGATGGAGATGGATCAAGATGTATTGGTGAGAATGCGTGCTCCGCCGGAGCCCGAGGAGAGGGCCTTTCGTGGGGTGGAAGCTGACAGTGGAGACGAGGAGGAGGAGCAGGGGGCAAAGGGAGAGAATTCGAATAAATCGGCGGCAATTGGGGCTTTTCCAGGAACTGGTGGCGAGTATAGTAGAAGTGGCACTAGTACTAGCTATTACTGATCGAAAGAGAGAAAACAACAAACAAAAAAGTTATGATTTGACGAAAGCTGGCTGCTGGAGCAGTCTTCGAATATCAATCAGCTCCAGAAAAAAAAAGTCTCACAAAACCATCTGATTTGCATAACCCCATAACTACCCAAGGTACCTTCCGAACCCCATCATCAACAACAACCATATCCCCAAATCCTCTCTCTCTCTCTCTCTCTCTCTCTCTCTCTCTCTCTCTCTCTCCCCCCCCCCCCCCCC